TCGTACTGTAAACCAAATAGACCACATCTGTATCAGTAAGAAGTTTGGAGGCTCCTTGCTAAATGTAAAAGTTTGTAGGGGGGCTGACATTGGGTCTGATCACTATTTGGTAAGAGCACGACTGAGAATGAAGCTTATGTCAGTGAAAAAGAAGCAGGAACGTAAGCTTGAGATTCCTGCTATTGAGCATCTGCGTGATCATTCACTTGTTTCCGAATACAATATTGTTCTGAGAAACAAATTTGACTGTTTGGAACCTGAGGTTGACCTGGAATCAATGTGGGACAACTTCAAGACAACTGTCCAACAAGTTTCCATGGAAATCCTTGGGCAAAGACCTCGAAAAAAGAAGGACAGGCACCAATCTCAGAAGACAAAAGAATTATTGAAGAACCGTAAGGAATTTAAGCGTAAAGACCCTAATTCGAACGCTAACAGGTCAGAGTATTCTAGATTGAATAAGCTCTTTAAAAAAAGTAGCAAGGTGGACGATAACAACTGGGCACGTAGAATGGCCAATGACTTGGAAGAAGCTGCGAGAAAAGGTCAGCAACGTGAGGTATGGCAGAAGATCAATGTCATATCTGGAAAGAAGAAGAAGCAGTCAACTGCAGTTAGAGACGTATCTGGCCAGTTGATTGCCGACCCACATGCCCAGAAAGAAAGGTGGAAAGAGCACTTCTCTAGGCTATTGAACCCTCCCCCGCAAGAGGCCAATATTTCTGACCTAGACAACATCCCTCCGCAACCCAGTTTTGACGACCTTTCCGATTCGGATGAAGCTCCTACAAGAAACGAGATTGTTGATGCCCTCAAAAAACTCAAGAATCACAAAAGTCCAGGAGTGGATGGTATCACCAACGAGCAACTTAAGTATGGACAGGATGGGTTGGTCGATCAACTAGTTGTGTTGTTCAAGAAAGTGTGGGAAGATGAGAAGATTCCTGAGGATTGGTCCAAAGGTGTTATTATCATCGTTGGAAAGAAAGGTGACACCTCTCATTGCGCTAACAACAGAGGCATTACATTAAGATCCACAGCCTCGAAGCTCCTGCAGATGATACTCCTGCGGAGACTTAGCAATGGCATGGAAAGATTCCTCCGAGAAAATCAAAGTGGTTTTAGGCAGAATCGCTCATGTATTGACCAGGTTTATTCACTCCGCTGTATTATACACCAATGCATTGAGTATAATATCCCTCTGTATATTAATTTTGTTGATTTCAAAGCAGCTTTTGATTCAATTGACAGGCAGTTCATTTGGAGAAGTATGCAGCACTACGGCTTACCTGACAAGTACATTAGAATTATGAAGGCGTTCTTCACTCACACAGTTAGTGCTGTTAGGGTCAATGGAGAGGTTACAGGTTGCACAGTGGGGCTCGCGTAAAGGGCATGCTGACATTTGGTTTTTTTGCCCTTTTATGCCTCTGGCCACATCTTGGTGGTGTCAATTTGGATTAAATCGTCAATTATGACTTATTTCAGTGAAATTGGACAACTTTCACTACTTTTTTGGGCAAAAAATCAATTTTTTCGAAAATTTGGCACTTTCTGTCACACAAAAAGCATCTTTTTCGACTAGCAGTTTTAAGATTTCATCGAATTTTAAGCGGTTTCTGTCCCATTTTTCTGCTTTTTCGTATGGAAATGGTCATCAATCATGCTGATGTGATTGTTTAAGGGTATTTCAGAAAGGAGAACCATAAAAACTATGCAATATGACAAAAACATAAGAAAAATCCTATGAAATCAGAGTTGCCCCTGGATTTTCCGAGCTCAAATTGCCAGATTTTGGCTATTTTTGGCTCATATGCACTATTTTTCCATCCAAATATTGCTTATTCCAATTGAACTTTGCTGGTATTAGCATAAAATATCGAAGTGTGCACCAAAAAGCTATGAAATAAATGAAAAAATCAGTTTTTAATCTATCAGTTTTCATTTTTCGCGCTATTTTGACGCGATTTTTCACCTCAGGCTCGTACCAAAAATGGGTCATAATTTTTTTTCCGAAGCGTTCCGAAGCCAAATCTTCTGGGTTCTGCTAGAAAAATTATGGGAAAACATAGAAAACATAATGAAACCCGGGCCATATGGGGCCATTTATAACTTTACCACCCATTTGTGGTCAGCGAATGAAATTTTAAGGCCTATTTTTGAAAAATATTCTAATTTTAGCTACCAAAAATCCAAAATTGACCGAAATCATGGTTTTTTCTTCTTAAACAGTACTAAGAATGCTTATATCCATGTTCAATCAATCAAAAGTTGAAAAACATTGAAAACAAAAGGAACCTCAGCCTGACTCAAAAATGGCAGTGAAATTGAGTTTCTGGGCATGTGCAGGCAGGTTATTTTCAGGCGCGCTTTTCAAATGGTTGTAAATTTTGACCCAACCGAGATATTGAGCTAATTTAAAAAGCATTGAATCCGGTTATTTATTCTCTATCAGAATTTACAACAATCTAAAACATTAGGAAAACTCGTTTTTAGGCTAAATGTCAGCATGGAGCCCCACTGTGGGTTGGTTTGATGTCAACTCGGGTACTGGGCAAGGTGATATACAGGGACCACCAGTCTTCAACTTTTGTTTGAATTTTTCGGCATACCTTATGGAACTGAACAAGGTCATTAGCAAAGGGGCTTTATTACAGCTGCCAGCCCCCGGGGTAGAAGAGAAACATCTTTTGGACACTGATTACGCTGATGACATGGCTATGTTAGATAACTCAAAAGAGGGGCTGCAGGAAACCACTGACCTTCTCTGCAAATACAGTGCCTATGCGGGTCTGAAGATTAATGCTGGCAAGACACAGAGCATGGTTGTCAGCAAAAGTGCATCGCAGAGGCCGTATTCTAAAGACGACACTATGGACATCAATGTGGAAGGTCTCCCAATACAGCAGGTCAGCAATTTCACTTACTTGGGTGCAATCATCAGTGCGAATGGAACAATTGACAAAGAATTTTCAGCTCGAATTCAAAAGGCCTCTGGGGCATTCTATCAGCTCAGCAGTATATGGTACAGTCGCAACATCAAGACTCCAACGAAAATCAGGATTTACAAAGCGGCTGTTCTCACTATACTGCTTTATGGAAGTGAGGTATGGAATACCACACAGACGCAGATGAAAAGATTTGAGGTGTTCCATCATAGATGTCTCAGGAGAATCCTGAAAATAAAATGGTTTTATCATGTATCTAATGCTGATGTACTTAAGCGGGCTAACATCGCCCCTGTTGATACTTTCGTACGAGCAGCTAGACTCCGATGGTTTGGCCATGTGGTGAGGATGCCAGAAGAAAGAATACCCAACTATCTTCTGCACTGGATCCCAAAGCATGGTAAAAGGTCAAGAGGTAGACCTCGGAAAAACTGGTTGTCATGTGTCCGGGAGGATGCAGCGATCTTCACAGGTGTCGATAACATCACGATAGAAGATGCAGAACAACAAGCTACAGACAGGGTTCACTGGAGAGGTCTAATACACCGGAGAAAGGAGTTACTTTGTGGTGCAGGCCACTCCAACGACTAGGAGGAGACCTTTTCAAGTACAAGTACAAGTATAACCTGTAATACTATTTTGTATATATTTAATTTCGTTTTCCAAAAAAAACCTATCTCGTTCTCCAAAATCCACGTTTTTCTGCAAAAACCTCCATTCGTAACCTTTCACTATTGCCTTTTTTCAAAAGGGTGAAAAGGAAAAAATTCTCAAAAGTACTCATGACGTATCAGTTGAATTGCAGGCGGTGGCAAAGCTCCAGCACACTGCTTACATTACTTCGACTCTTACATTACTTCGACCAGTTCCAGAACTTGTCTTGACGGTTATATTTGTCCGGTAAATTTTGTCATAGCAATTGCCCTGTTTGATATGAGCCATGTATTATAGTCGTCTACTTTGATGAACTTCATGACACGATATCAACTCCACCTTTTTCCGCTTGCCAGGCTTAACTCGACGCCCCTTATTGATATTCATTCAACGTTCGGACTGACGAACTATGTATAAATAGAACGCCAATTTCAAATGTCATAGTACCTTAGTTTTATTTATCTAGTAGTATAATATACGTCCCAATTCCATTTCATATTTTCCATACTGATCTCATATAGCTAGAATGAAAGGTAAATATTAAAATGAATTAGCCCTAGCACTTAGCAACACCCGGAGGAGTTTATAACACAAAACCCCGGCACGCTTAAGGATGTATTGAAATAACCTCTCGTGCTAAAGCACGTCGGCGATATTTTTATGAACGGTAAGTTTTTGATCAAATGCGACCTTTTTAATATGTACGGCGTTTTGAAACAATAGAAGTTGTTCTGCAGTCGATAAAACCTCGATATAATGAACAAATGCACCCTCGTGATGCCAGATTGTAACTAATCATCATCTTGCGGCCTCTGTGTATCGTAATATCACGCACTACTCATACAAAATAACTGTGCAAAAAGATCCAATCACACCTTTTTAGAGCGGGTTCACAGGGTTTGGATAAAAGTCGAAGATGTAGTTCAAGTCAATTCCATCATTCGTGGTTAATTTGAGAATCTGAGAATCTGATCACGTCACTGATTGAGAACCTGTTAATGTATGGGAAATCTGCAGTCTTAAATTAGTCTGTAAGACATCTTCTTTCCTTCTAACGTCACCTAGATAACGGTCGAGAATTTAGTTAAAGTCCATCACATAGGCCATTTTAATCCGCAGTCTTAAATTAGTCTGCGAGAAATCTACTTTAATCACTGTATTGGTTAGATCAGAGTGCAATTTCTTAATTATCTTTATCGCCTATAGTAACTTAGTATGGGCTTTGATAGTTCTATGAGGCAAACCATACGAATTAAATAATGTGCCCTGAGCTCTCAATGCCAGATTAGAAGTTAAGTCAGCTGGTCAGATTAAGAAGTTAATCAAAGATAATTAAGTTCTTCAGTCTTTAAACTCTTTGAGTTGAAATAATAAAAGCCTGAAATGAGGCTGTTTCAGGAGGACCTGGACTCAGAAGGCGAGGAGCGCACGAAAAAGAAACCCAGTAAATTTAAAGACGATCTTAAGCTTAAGAAAAAATTCAATGCCCTCCTACGAAAGATGAAGCTGAATGATACGGACGAACCTATGATCGATGATGAGGTCGGTTTTGTAAGTTTGATAATATTATTATTTACTGACATCTTGAATAACCTGTAACTAATACAGGTAGCTTATAATCATCTAATTGAACAAGACGTCTAGTTGTTAGCATTCAATTTATGGATATCACGTTTAAATAAAGTTACCCAATGATAGTCCTTTTAAAGGAACAGACCCAAATGATAGTCATGTCGATTTAATTAATCAAAAACATAAGTTTGATCAAACAAAGATCCATTTACCAATGAGCAAGGTACACCATATTATAAATCATACGGCATATCCGATATCGTTCATATAGTGTAAACCCACGAGCCACCTCTACCATATACCCCCGAGAATTATTATTTACATAATATTGTAATAGAATAAATCACAACACCAGATTTCTGATTTACTGGATCTTTTCTCCAGTAAATCGGTGTTTTACAGTGTCTTGTTCAGGTAACACAGCCGGACCAGTATTCTGCCACCTTCAGCTCTATCATGAGGGACGACAGTGACGACAGTGTACATAGTGACAGTGATAGTGTTGGCACCCTGCCAAAACCTCATCTTCGGTAAGTAGTAGTTCTGGCACCCTGTCAAAACCTCATCTTAGGTAAGTAGTAGTGTTGGCACCCTGCCAAAACCTCATCTTAGGTAAGTAGTAGTGTTGGCACCCTGTCAAAACCTCATCTTAGGTAAGTAGTAGTGTTGGCACCCTGCCAAAACCTCATTTTAGGTAAGTAGTAGTGTAGGGACACTGCATAAACCCCATGGTGTGGAACTGAATTGCTTACCCTTATTATTCAATAAGGTTGATTATGAAAAACAAACTCCGTAATTTTGAAAATCCTGGCTACTGGGCTACGGAACACACCAGCTCGCAAAATTGAACACTAAATAGCTTTAGTTGAGGTCGATACTATTTATTCAAACGAAACCCAATTTTACGCCATAGCAATATCCCGCGTTTCTTTGACGCGTTTATCTGCATTTAGAGAAACAGCAACTTTTAAGATTTAAAGTCTAGCGACTCAAAGAAATATTACAAGTACCTACCACGCGGAGAAATTAATTACATGGTTCATTACAGTTTCCCCTCTTTATGATGTCCATAATATGAATATCCATAATATGATATATGGAAGATTGAAGTTATTTTTATAATACGTATTATTATGAAATAGAAGTGGCGAGTTTTGAGTTAAACAGTTTGTCTATGCCGACCATTATCAGATTATAAAATATTGTATATTAACACAAGTTTATTAAGTATCATATTAACAACACACAGGAGCTTGCATAACTGGCTCTGTCTACATGCTTGTAATAAAATAGTCTCGTCTGAAACTGGAACTGGCTTTTAAACCCACATATCAAGATGTAAATGAATGGAGCGATCCTAGCAAGCTTGTGGAGGAGGTACTGATCTCCTTTTCTTTTCCAGTATGGCCACAGCCCTTTCTGCACAGATTTCACTGCAGCATAGTCGGGACACAACCCCAGGCACAATGCATGATATGCACTCGTGTTATGCCGCTCTAATGGAAGGCTTTGTGAGTGACGTCACATCTGCCCTACAGTTTTGAGATCTAATCGGGATTCGAACTCACTACCTCAGGGCCTGTAGACAAAAGGACTCAAGTGAATCAAGATATTGAGAATAGTACTAATGGGCCACTTTCCTACTTTCCAGCTTTTAGCACGTCTTATAAATCTGGATTCACAGTTTTGATTAATAAATACTGGAAGCTGATTGGTTGATCTGTCATGTGACACATGTGGTTATCCTCTACTACATATGGTTACGACTAAACTACTAGTACTGTATATTATATCAACTCTGTACACGCCCGTTAAGCAGGGTAGTAGTTTTATCCAAGGGTCTTTACATTTCGATATGATAAGGAGTGATTCAGCTCGTCGCTCAATCTGATGTAAATAAAACGCACCATACTTATAAGTAATATTCCTCATACAGTACAATGCTGCCCTAAAATAGATATTATCGATATTTCAAAACACAATGTCATGACCCCTGTAAATCTTCAGGCCCTACTTCACTGATGACTTTCAAAACACAATGTCATGACCCCTGTAAATCTTCAGGCCTTACTTCACTGCTGACTTTCAAAACACAATGTCATGACCCCTGTAAATCTTCAGGCCCTACTTCACTGTTGACTTTCAAAACACAATGTCATGACCCCTGTAAATCTTCAGGCCTTACTTCACTGGTGACTTTCAAAACACAATGTCATGACCCCTGTAAATCTTCAGGCCCTACTTCACTGCTGACTTTCAAAACACAATGTCATGACCCCTGTAAATCTTCAGGCCCTACTTCACTGCTGACTTTCAAAACACAATGTCATGACCCCTGTAAATCTTCAGGCCCTACTTCACTGCTGACTTTCAAAACACAATGTCATGACCCCTGTAAATCTTCAGGCCCTACTTCACTGCTGACTTGCAAAACACAATGTCATGACCCCTGTAAATCTTCAGGCCCTACTTCACTGCTGACTTTGACCGAGATTCAGATAAAGAAAGCAGCACCGACGAGGGTACAAGTAGCAAGAAAGCTGACCACGAGCCTCCTAGTACTGCTACACGCAAAACATCTGAGGAAAACAGACGCGGGTAATTAAATGAGTAGTTCTAGTTTTGTTGTTAAGTAATTGTCAGTAAGGTCTGATATGCCAGGAAGTTTCATTATACGTACGAATCAAATTATATCCAAAATAATCTTCATAATTAGAATATTCATAGCCCCTAATAAAAACGAAATCACTGAATCATGCTATGCTCTTAACAATATAAAATAAGCTTCAAGTAAGCTCGATTAGTCATCAAATACTTTTTCGGCTTCCTGTAATTGGCTGGTTGCACTTGTGTAACAATAAGGCTGTTGGAATACTCCGAAGTAAAATAAGTGTCTTGATAAAAAAAGACCACCGCATCTCCTTCTTTTCACCACATAAGTTCAACACAACCCCCCTCAGAAGCAGCATGCTCGGCAGCCCAGTCTCATAACATTAACCCCCCCTCAGAAGCAGCATGCTCGGCAGCCCAGTCTCATTACATTAACCCCCCCCCCTCAGAAGCAGCATGCTCGGCAGCCCAGTCTCATTACATTAACCCTCCCCCCCCCTCAGAAGCAGCATGCTCGGCAGCCCAGTCTCATAACATTAACCCCCCCCCTCAGAAGTAGCATGCTCGGCAGCCCAGTCTCATTACATTAACCCCCCCTCAGAAGCAGCATGCTCGGCAGCCCAGTCTCATTACATTAACCCCCCCTCAGAAGCAGCATGCTCGGCAGCCCAGTCTCATTACATTAACCCTCCCCCCCTCAGAAGCAGCATGCTCGGCAGCCCAGTCTCATAACATTAACCCCCCCTCAGAAGCAGCATGCTCGGAAGCCCAGTCTCATTACATTAACCCCCCCCCCCCTCAGAAGCAGCATGCTCGGCAGCCCAGTCTCAGTACATTAACCCCCCTCAGAAGTAGCATGCTCGGCAGCCCAGTCTCATTACATTAACCCCCCCTCAGAAGCAGCATGCTCGGCAGCCCAGTCTCATTACATTAACCCCCCCCCCCCCCTCAGAAGCAGCATGCTCGGCAGCCCAGTCTCATTACATTAACCCCCCTCAGAAGTAGCATGCTTGGCAGCCCAGTCTCATTACATTAACCCCCCCCCCCTCAGAAGTAGCATGCTCGGCAGCCCAGTCTCATTACATTAACCCCCCCTCAGAAGTAGCATGCTCGGCAGCCCAGTCTCATTACATTAACCCTCTCTTCAGAAGCAGCATGCTCGGCAGCCCAGTCTCATAACATTAACCCCCCCCCCCCCTCAGAAGTAGCATGCTCGGCAGCCCAGTCTCATTACATTAACCCCCCTCAGAAGTAGCATGCTTGGCAGCCCAGTCTCATTACATTAACCCCCCCCCCCCTCAGAAGTAGCATGCTCGGCAGCCCAGTCTCATTACATTAACACCCCCTCAGAAGTAGCATGCTCGGCAGCCCAGTCTCATTACATTAACCCTCTCTTCAGAAGCAGCATGCTCGGCAGCCCAGTCTCATTACATTAACCCCCCCTCCTCAGAAGTAGCATGCTCGGCAGCCCAGTCTCAGGGGCACAGCGACCCTCAACCCGGACCAGTAGTGCAGGTCCTGCTCCAGTTATAGGGGATTTGAGACAGGACGCAGTGGACGAGGAAAGCAACAGTGTGGCTAGCCCCCTGAGGCAGAGTCCTACAAGTCAGGGGAGTGCGGATGATACCAGGATGGGATCTTTTGATGTGAGTACAGTGGGGGTGGGGGGGGGGGCAGGGGGAATGTTGATATTAGTGAGGTTACTGAGTATAGTGGGGGGGGGGGGGGGGCAGGGGGAATGTTGATATTAGTGGGGTTACTGAGAACAATACGTCAAAAAGTTAGATGTTATAATTTGTGAATAACGGACAGAAGCATAAACGGTACTATATTTCATCTCGATGACACGTGGATAGAGCACTCAGAGCAGTAAAAGATTTCCGATAAGACCTGAAACCATTATCCACTCATAATAGCATCTAACAAATGAGTCTAACAGATTCGTAAAGTATTCATGGGTGTGGTGATAAGGAACAATTGCCACTCCCTCAAATTGAAATACCATGTTTTGTATCTAAATTCACTCCTGATAAAATACCACGTTTTGTTTACCACTAAAATATTAATCCATTAAAGACACTCCCATACAAGTCTAGTCTGTACTGCTCAGTATTAACAAGACTTTCAATGACGCACCTAACAGATTGAACGTGGAACGCAATTGCCAACATTTCTTTCAGCTCACTATTATATAAGTACACTATAAGTACAAGCGCCTCAAATTTCTAACGGCTAACCAGCGTTTTTGGCAGCAAAGGATTCAAAAGTCAATTTCAAATGCTAATACCGAACTTAAGTTGACGCTAAGATTTGCTGAGTTCATCGTCATGTTAACTGGAAATTGAGCAACCAGAGCCAGCTTAGCTATCCTGATCCTTGATATACTGACAAATTGGGGTGTGGTTCAGTCAAGTTAGGGGGTCCAGAAATCATCATCAAAGATCAGCATTAGTCCTTTTAGCACTTAGTCCTTTTAGTACTTAGTCCCTTTTAGCACTTAGTCCCTTTAGCATTAGTCCTTTTGAGCACCACATGGCTTTGAGTTTGACTATTTGTATTTATAAAAATAGTCAAAATAGATTATAATCGAACTGGCCTCGCCCAGCATCTTGACAACTGTCTCCATGTTGTTCAATCAGCCTAGTAGTATAACTATCTACAATAACCTAGATCATACAACTTAATATTCCCACTCGTGTTGTAGTAACTAAATAATAAAAAACTGGAATTTTACTATAAAAACTTGATCTAATTCGCCACTACAGTTTACTCTGGAATAATTTGCGTAGACCGCAATTTAACCTTCAAGACAAATTACCAATTTAACGACAAAACCAGTTCCCCGCGTGCAGGCAGAGGGTTTTAACCCCTGATTGAAGACTACGAGCATGGAAAAAGCACAGTTTTAAATGCCCTCTTAAAGGGGGGGGGGGGGGATCATGTTCCCCCCCCCCCCCCCTTTTAAATGCCCACTTAATTTTAAACCGTCACGGTTTGAAATTAAGTGGGCATTTAATTTGAATCTTGGGCGGCACCATTTTATTATTAGAAGCTAAGTGGACTCTTGTTTGACGGGGAAACGATATGTTCAAGATACTTCACCTCACAAAAGTCAAAACTTGATATTAAATACTTAAGTCGGGACACATTATATTTATAAGCGTTTAGGGGGTTTGGTACAATTTATCTTCGTTAAATCAAAGCTGGTAAAATATCGCTATTTTCGCCACAGATTTTTGGGAATTTTTGGAATAAACATAGCGGAGAATGACTTATATCTAAATCACCAACGATGGCTCATTAACGAAACGCACACCTTCCAGACATAAAGCAATCAAATTTCTAATGGTTCTTGAAATTTAGAGGCTACAAACCATTAATATGTACCAGGTGACTCGAGCAACAGATTCCTTTTAATAACAAAATAATTGCCATAAGATACTTTTAAAACTATAATACAAAAGTCTTGCTATACTAGTACTACTTTTTGTCTATTTGTCTGAACTTTAATATTACGACTTTACAATTATTTATGGCAATTATTTTGTTATGAAAAACATGCACCTGGTATTTAAACACTAAAAATTTCATTGCTCTAAATGGTACTCCTGCTATGGTAAGTAGAATAAAGTGACCTCAAACATTTTACGAAAAATGAAGGTCTGCAAATTTCTAACGTAATACGTACCGTCTAGTCAAAGTGTTTACAGCTTAACCTAAGTGCTGTTACTTCAAATCCCCCAAATCGAAATACTTAAAAACCAAGAAATCTAAGATTTGCTACATCAGAGAGCTGAAAGAGTGATGTCAGGGTCCAATTTTAAGTAAATTTCCTTAGTCAGACGGGGTTTACGTAATGCGTGAATCATCGTGATACAGTTGTTGCAGATCTTCATTTTCCGTAAAATGTTAAAGGTCAAATGTTAAAGGTCAATACGATTATAACATTGACCAATGAAAATAGTGCGGTAATAGTACTGCGGTTCACAAATCCCGTTGTATGACACTCCATGGTCTTGAGCACGTTCAAGATACATTGAGTGCAAAATACTTTGAATTACGGCAGATTGAGGGGAATAATCGACCTCGTTAGAAACCTTAAAAGATGCAGTAAAAACTCAGTAAAGTTCATTAACGCGTGTTGACTGAGTTAAATCTCTAGTGATTATAATTTCCAAACTAATAACTTTAATACCTCAGTTAATTAATTAATTAACACCTCAATTAACACCACCAGGATATGTCGGAGGGTCACAACATCATTGACCAGCTGGACGTTATCTTCAACAAGGGAGACACAGCCAGCCTGGCAGTACCTGAAACTATTGTCTTAGCTTACTGTAAAGATAAAAACTGCTATCATGTGAGTATGATTATGAAATGAAAATGAAAATGAAATGAGGTATTTATATCCCGCTCATATGATTAAGCAACAACACAAGGAAGGTGGTTACTGGTTATTAACCAGTGGTTAACCATGTCAGAACGGCTAGTTGTGAGTGATATGAGCGAATGGGAATAACTTTTAAAATACTATATACATTAAATATATATTTTGATATATAAAATATGTATTTAAATGGGCGAATAGTGCAGACTACTTGTCAACTACAATAACAGGCCACCAAATTACCAATTAAATAATATGATAATAATCAAATTGTAGTGATAAGAAAATATTTGATTGCTCACTTCACACTTATATAAATAATCTCACACATGGTCCCCACTCCGCAAGCGTTACTGCACCTTGTTTTATTATTTCTACATATTATAAGAAGCCCAATATATAGCTAGTCTCATGCAAGCACCAAATTTACATACTTTAAAGTGCAGCTCTATGAGAGTATGAGTCTGCAATGACTGACATATTTCTGAAAAATCGAGACATTCTCGGAATATTTACGGTCGCAGTGGTATACTACAGTGCACGTTCTGCGTGCCTTACAAACCTCACGTTGGAACAATCCCAGAAAACACCTTCTGGGACCTGAAAATAGGAACAGGTTGCACAGAAGGTGAATAAAAAGGATATTTTACTGTATTTTGTCCTGCATTTCCTATATAACTATATAACTAGCACCACACTACAACGGCCCACCTTGCAGTTTAACTAACGCACAATACAAAGGAATTTAAATGGAAAGTCGTCTACAGGTTGAGACTGACCCCCACATTAACCATCGAGTTTAATTATGCTGAATGGGGCTAATAGAGCTGGTAGTGAAAGAGCAGCCATTCTACTTTGTTAATATATTCGGGAATATTGCAGTATTAGCAGCTTTCCTACTATATTATTTTATTATTATTAAGAAACTGTTTACACCATTAAAATATTCAAAACCCCTAAAAGAAATCAAGTCATCCTAAAATGGTGATCAGTACAGATCAAGACAGCTAGAGTTAAAATTTGTTTCTCCAAGCAACTCTATCATCGGCTAATATCTTAAGCTTATTAAGATCATTCAAAGAGTTAAGTTTTAAACCTCTACGGGTCAAATCATTCACAATAATCTTGAACAAATTCTTACGATGCGCACCGACGCGCCCTTTACAGTTTGTTGTGACAGCAAACTTTAACGCTAATGCAGCGGGGGAGTCATCAGCACTACGCAAGATATGACCTAGGAGCTTCCACCTTGCTTTAGGGACACGATCACGATTATTTTATATATAATATTATTAAATATTACTATATTATATTATTACATCATTTAAACTGCGATTTTAATATCTTCAATCACCTCTGACCTCATTGGTTAATATAGTATTAGTAGTTCGAGAAAGTACGGAGATTTTATTATGCAATTCATGTCCATTATATTATAATACGACTAACCTGGCTCAATTTTACCCATATTTTACGAGGTATCCAGCTCAGTAAAGAAATGATACCCGTAAGAGCAAAAAGACGAGAGCACCAGTTTGATCTTTAGAGCATTTAAAATGAAATTGCATACCTATGTTTTCTCCAATACGTTTTATGTAATTTATTGAAGTCTACGAGGTAAACGGCGACACGCAGAATTTATGGAAAGTAGTATAGTAGTATCATATTGTGCAGCATTTTAATATTCGGTCTAGGTCAAACCACTGCAAACCACTGTCCCAGAGCAGTGCTTTATTCAAAGTATTTAACAATTAGTTAGGGAGGGTATGTAATGGCGTGGGATTAGTTTAGTAAAAGCAATTTGACTTCAAGAATCACTAGTTGGAAGCCTAAACTAAAGGATTTTTATAGGTGGCAATTTTTATTTTGGCGGGAACACCCATATACGGGCCACGCCCTTTTTCAGGGTTTCGCGGTCACTCGAATTTTTGTATTTCAGCCCAGGAAGGTCTTAAAGACTATTCCGATACACCAAAATGTGCCTAATAGCCATATTTATATACAACTTATGAAGCAACATATACCTTAAAATGCTTCGTTTCGGAAATATGGCCGAAAAACGGTTTTTGGCTTGACGCAGTTCATAATTTCCGTGATTTTTGGCATTTCCACCTAGGAAGGTCGTAGAGACTATTCTGATACACTAAAATGTACATAATGGCCACATTTATATACAACTTATAAAGCAACATATACCCTAAAAGACTTATTTTCGGAAATGTGGCTGAAAAACGGATTTTTGCCGAGCGAACAATGACAATATTCACAAATGGGCTATTGGACTGTTAACTAGAAAGGTCTTAAAGACTCATGAGCAACACAGCATTTGTCACAAGATGTAAGATGACTCACTTTGTGTCCAGAAACACCTACAAAAATTGGAGAATGATCTACTTTATTGGGCATCTCTCTTAATGGGCCAGGCCAGCAGCATATTTTTGTCTTACGAAAGGGCAATTTTTCAAAATTACTGTTTCTTCAGTAAAGTTCAATGGGTCAGTTGCTAACAGCAAATTGTTCGCAATTGCCGACTCATGCACATCATATACTCAAAAACGCTCACTTTAGGAGTCGTTAATAAATAACTACTACATGATTTGTGAAAACTCCAACAATTTTTCCTTTTCACCAATTTAAATAAAATGTGTGACGTGCCAGACCAAAATTCAACTTCAAATTTTTATTTATTCATGCCATGAAACCATGATATATGTGCCAAGAATACCGGACCTAAAATAAATCGGCACTAGATCCGGGCCAGATTGTTGCTTGACCGCTGACCAGTACCCCACTTTATAATTATGATTGATTTCGCTGCCTCGACCAATATTGGTCTGTAATTCCTGGATTGAGATCTGTTGGCCGCAGTTTAATTTAGCTAATTTCCTATAATACCGCAGTGGTTTGGTTCCCACTTCAGAATGACCCCATATTCTTTTTTTTAGTCGCATAGATTTTCCCATCGTATATGGGTGTTCCCGCCAAAATAAAAATTGCCACCTATAAAAATCCTTTAGTTTAGGCTTCCAACTAGTGATTCTTGAAGTCAAATTGCTTTTACTAAACTAATCCCACGCCATTGATATTCCTGACATATCCTCCCTAACTAAATGTATTTACATACAGTTTAAATAATTTAAATTCCTCAGCCTATAATGAAAGCGATGCTGGCATCAAACGCATGTGTCTTTCTACACACGGGCTCTGACGCAAAAGTGTTCATTTCAACTCTCGTTAACAAGATGCAGAAATGGTTGGTTTTGGAATCTCAAATATGACGAACATTTGATGATGACGCTTTACAAAATTTCAGAAATATTAAAGTTTGAAAATTGTTAAATAGCAGAAATAAAATAACATGATAATAATAAAATAATATAAAAAATAAATAACAGACCAAGTTTATAAAGCAAAACATCAAAGGAAAATAAAATTTATCCCAGCACTCATCAACCTATCCCTAGCACTCATCAACCTATCCCTAGCACTCATCAACCTATCCCTAGCACTCATCAACCTATCCCTATCACTCATCAACCTATCCCTATCACTCACCAACCTATCCCTATCACTCATCAACCTATCTCTAGCACTCATCAACCTATCCCAGCACTCATCAACCTATCCCTAGCACTCATCAACCTATCCCTAGCACTCATAGACCATGAGCAGAATTTAAAGGTGGTCGCCGCGCTGATCACGTGATAATGATCTGAGTATTTAGTGCGACCTCTGACTAACGAACCCTTCTCCCAGTGCGACTAGACACTCTCGACTATCACCCGTTAAGTTAGCTGTAATCGGGGACCTCTCCTCAACTAACGTCATACTGAAGCCTCTAATGGATAGCCTTAATAACAAGAGCCCAGAATGGATCCAGAACTTCCAGTTCATATTCATACCTACAGGTAATGCTTGCGTAGGATTCATACCCACAGGTAATACATGCGGATTGCGGAGTAAATACCACAGTCAAGGCTATAATAGTAGCTGTAGGTGTGATTATTTATTTCAATGGTCGATTGTATGAGAGATATCTTCACGGCCTTTATTTACCAATGCAAATCCGAATACATTGAACAACGAATTTAAAGAATGATGCACCGAATGTGACCATTTTTGAAATAAATTTCGTCGTCAAATTTTTAATGTAAATATTGATCGTTATAATTGAATTAATACTATTTCAGAATATGACGTCAAAATGTCGATACGTTATTCATCTATTTATTTCCATTAGAATTTGTCATCACTGAGTCTATTCAAAAACGATCAGAAATTTGAATGAAAGAACTATCAAATCATGAGACTCTATAACAATACATAGAGAGTTTATAGAGGTTTTATAGAGGTTTTATAGAGGTTTTATAGAGGTTTTATAGAGGTTTTATAGTGGTTTTATAGAGGTTTTACAGAGGTTTTATAGAGGTTTTATAAAGGTTTTATAGAGGTTTTATAGAGGTTTTATAGAGGTCTTATAGAGGTTTTATAGAGGTCTTATAGAGGTTTTATAGAGGTTTTATAGAGGTTTTATAGAGGTTTTATAGAGGTTTTACAGAGGTTTTATAGAGGTTTTATAGAGGTTTTATAGAGGTTTTATAGAGGTTTTATAGAGGTTTTATAGTGGTTTTATAGAGGTTTTATAGAGGTTTTATAGAGGTTTTATAGAGGTTTTATAGAGGTTTTATAGAGGTTTTATAGAGGTTTTATAGAGGATTTATAAAGGTTTTATAGAGGTTTATAGAGGTTTTATAGAGGTTTTATAGAGGTTTTATAGAGGTTTTATAGAGGTTTTATAGAGGTTTTATAGAGGTTTTATAAAGGTTTTATAGAGGTTTATAGAGGTTTTATAGAGGTTTTATAGAGGTTTTATAGAGGTTTTATAGTGGTTTGACTGTGATTTTTATCTACTCTAGTACAAGTACTCTCCCAGCTGTTTCGAAATAATTTTAAACTGACAAAAAAATGGAACCACTTGATGAATTTAAACGGAATGAGTGCTATATTTAACTTCGAATGACAACTTAAATACGCAGGTGCAATAACAATTAATAAAAATTGCTTGGTTAAATTTTTGGATTTGATTAATTCTTTAATTTTGCGTGGACACGCCGTATATTTACCGTATACTGACACTGACAGTAAAGTTACCGTCACGTATAGTGGCCGTATCTTTTCCAAACCTAAACTCTCAATTTCTACTATAGTTAACCAAAAATCATTTTTGAATAATGTGTTATTGCTAAAAAAGGAAGCTGAACAAAAACCAGAACATAAAAAATATAGAAAAATACGAAAAGATTTAAAGATTCAATATTGTTAACCGCGTGATTGTTCACGCGTCTCGTTGTGTTCACGCGCTTCACTTCACACGTGATGTCTAGCCCCATACTTAACTTTAATTGACCAGTTTTTGCACAAGAAATTTTATTTTTACTGGCGGCGGCAAGACAGCAAAGTTAATAATTTAAAAATTTTTATTTCAGCGGTACTGGTAATTTCATCAGTCGGACGATGATATATATGATGTAAATCATTTTGATTGCGATGATTCTCCAACGTTTACATATGAACATTTTCGTGGTAATCACGCCCAGATAGGTCAAAATCATAGGTACCTATGTCAATCCAAACTAAATATATTAAAATTACCTCAGATCCGAACAACCCGATATCTCGATACGTCAGCTCCGTGGACGAGTCGTACACGCGACTACTAGATTCGCTATCAGTGGAATGCGAAACTGATGTCCTTGCTGCTTATCAGGTACACAGATCCATCACTAGGGGCCATCACTAGGGGCCATCACTAGGGGCCATCACTAGGGGCCATCACTAGGGGCTATCACTAGGGGCCATCACTAGGGGCTATCACTAGGGGCTATCACTAGGGGCCATCACTAGGGGCTATCACTAGGGGCTATCACTAGGGGCCATCACTAGGGGCTATCACTAGGGGCCATCACTAGGGGCCTTCACTAGGGGCTATCACTAGGGGCTATCACTAGGGGCTATCACTAGGGGTCATCACTAGGGGCTATCACTAGGGGCTATCACTAGGGGCTATCACTAGTTAGGATAAACTCGCATCTAAAGTGGTAGTCTGACAACAGATACTGTTTTAATGCGGGGGGGGGGGGGGCCCTTAATGCTGTGATTATTAAAATACCTGTTTCTTCAGAGGGACGCTAAAGATATTGTAAACTTGTCCATCGGAAGAGTCTTGGTGACCCAGCTTGTGAACGAGTAAGTACTTTTATGTACATATTTTGACTCTTTCAGTCAGCTATTCCGGGAGGCTATCTGATGTAATTTTAATAATCGACCGTAAAATGCACGTTACTTAAGATCAATTTAGCTTTACTTTAATGTTACAGGACCGATGAAGACACCAAACAGTTTGAGGTGCCGTTTCTAAACTCCGTCTCGATAGTGTTCAACAGAAAGAGTTGCGTGAACTGTGCTGAGGAAGACGATCCCGAAAAGTGCAGGTTCATAATACTCAAACACAAGGATATATCTTATTCTTGATCATTTTATTGTAAATAACTTTTCCAACACAAAATAAAACACAAGTTAACTTGGTAAACAGTTGCTTCCAACGATTAGATCGCCAAACCAAGACTGGATTGTTTTAAAACTGAACAAGATAGAATCGCTTGATGCATTTAATCGCTTGATGCATTTTAACGGCAAGACTTTAATTTTAACTTCGTAGGTATGCACGCGGGTGCAATAATAGTTAAAATTTAAACAAAAGAGGTCAGTTTAGTAAATGATTAAAATAGGTGTTATCATCCACTGCACATTGGACAGGTGGCTGTAAAAAACCAATTTGATTGGCCACCGCTAAACATGACCGTGTAAAGCAAAGTGATTGCGTCCTGCTGCCTGGTCAGCTAAATAGTTTTGATATTTGTAAAAATGTCTACGATACCTCTTTATAATGGCGTCGGGAAGCCTCTATAGACAAACATTCTTATATTACAGTATTAAAATCGCAGTATAATAACGTTGTGCATTTAAACAATGAAGAGCGAGTATTGGTCAAATATTTGACTGCCGTTTAACAGTGTTTAACGTGCATTATACATAATAGCAGGAACCCGTCTTTTTGAGGTTCAGTACCGGCGATGTGAATTCCAAGAATCTCTAGTAAAGTTGATAGCAAGTATAAATTGAGACGGCTACAGATCAGTCAGAGTACCGTCTGTGCAGATATCTTCTTCTTCTTCTTCCTCCTGTAAATGTGCGAACCCCTGCCTCCTGCTTACCACACTGTGCTTCATTTTGTGGTATCCAGCTGATAACATGGACATTAGTCGGTGGATGAGCTGCTTTAATTCCATCCGTAGGGCGGGTTTCCCGAGCGTTATTATCAGGGGAACCAGGACAGCAGTAAGCAGCGGTAAAGTGAATTTAACCGTCATCAGCAACGGTTTATACTTGGTCAGGAATTTTAATTTATACCTTTTAACGTGAGCTAGAGAGAATACCACTACAAATGCGCTGTTGTAGATCAAGTAGAGCAAGGAAACCAGGAAGACGGACAAGTTGGAATGTTGCAGCCAGTTCTCTGTATCTTGTACATACTCAGAACCTACAACATGAGCTTTCTTGTTGGAACAGATTCGTACCATAATGCAAAGTAGGATTACCAAGCAGGGGAGGGAGTAGTCGAAATGTAGTATAATACCACCTGATATGGACTGCTGTTTGTGATTGTGGGAGAAGTGAACTGCCACCCCTTCCCCCGTGTAGCTCACTGCTTTTAGCTTCAACCATTGCTGGAAACAAGAGGAGGTGGAGCTGAGTTGTCTGTTCCAACAGATAACATCACCTACTGCCAACAAGACTCCTACCAGAGTGATCACCACCAGCACTACCCTCACAACTGTGTAGTTGACCCTGTAGGATGGGGTGAGGATCTGCAGTGTGGTGAGGAGAGTTAGAACCATGTTGAAGAAGATGGAGCACTGGTAACTGGAGACTCCGAGGGAGAGATAGCTCAGTACTATCCAGGTTGGGACTGGAATGTTGTTATTTCTCAGACAGGACAGGGAGACTGAGTCCCGGGCTACGTTACTTACTGCTGTCATAACGTTACATACCTGGTGATACGTTGGCTTGTTATTTGTTATTTGTTGATTTAAGATGATGTTTAACATATGGAATATGAGTGACTTAATCTAAAGCTACGAATTTAGTGCAGTTGGTGGAATGACAGCATCATCTCGTTTTTAACTCGGTATACAACGAGTCTTGTTCTTAGTTTTTAGGGCCCATTTTACCTTTAAAAATATGATAAAACTATAAAACAACTCACAGATATAAGCATTAACAAGATGGAGGAATAGCGAGATCTTTCTTTGTAGAGATGATTTATTACCTGTCCAAGAATTCTGTACTAGTGTCAACACAACAAGTTTCAACTTTAAAAGTGATTCTTCAATACAAATGAATTCTAAAGTGCACCATGTTTTTGACGCAGCCTGATAAGACATACCAAACAGTTAAGAGCGATAGCCAATAGAGCGAGGGTGAGGTTGATGGGAGCTTGGTAGCTCAGTGCCCCCTGGCGGAAGGGACCTGATGTTATCATGGTCCGGTAACTGAGCTGTGAGGGTCAAGTAGCACACTCCCAAACTGAATACTGTTATATAATAAAACAGCGTGTAATGTGCAATGTGTACCGAGGAGTAGCAGACAAAGAAGAAGTTATCAAGTTATTATACTGAATACAAGTGCGCTCAGTGCGATCTATTGTGTACTCTTTATCAGTAGTTCACAGCAACGTACCGACTGAAGCGCTATTGTTAATAACCGAGAGAGTGAGGTTGCCGTGCCAAACACAATGTCACTATTAGCCTCTATTCTGCTTAATTCTCTTGAGGAGATATATATACACGTGTTTTACTTCGGTTGGTTGCGAATTATACGGACATATTTGTTTCTTGATTTAAAACCAGATTCTCATCTCTCCTTCAATTTACTCTAATTTCAGTATTCACGAGATAGATATCCAAGTTGACTACACCTCCCTGCACAAGAAAGACGCTAATTCAAAGGTTACTTGCTACTTGATTTCGTGGTTATACTGTCAAAGCTATTTTAGAAAGATATAGCTTATGGAGATGGTATTGTCTCTGGTATCCAATATTAGAAGTTTAATCGAAATTAATTTGCAGCAAATGCAAGTAAAGGGGATATTCCGGGAGCTTGGAGTCACGAGGGAGCTAGGAGATCAATCTATAACTCTCAAAGCTGCTTACAGGGAACGCAAACCTAAGGGTAACTTTACATTTTGGTTTTTTGCAAGCTTGATTGTTCGCAGACATTGGAAATTTATAACATATTTATGATGTAAATTTGTTGATTATTTCACGGTGTGTGTGTGTGTGTCCTTTCTGATATTTTTAAAATTTCTGACCACCGTTCAGTGGCACTGTCAAGACTGAAGAAGCAACAGCAGCCCGATATCAACAGTATCAACTGTCATGTCAACAGTTTCACCTGCATGATACGACCGCACACCTGTCTCACATGTACTGGTGAGTTGAATTTACTTCAATTGTTCACTGTAATTCTTAAATCATCGTATATATCCGTAGTTTTGTAGAGTTTTTTCCAGCCAAAGTTGGTTTTCAAGATAATATCCAGTCAGATTTATCCTGACCACTTTACACTAGAAAACGGTGCGTATTTATTTAGGTTCCATAATTATCTCAATTACAGTCCGTGTTGATGGGGAGGAGTACAAGAACGTGTTGTCTCTCTACGTCTTCCCCCTGTGGAGCCCTAACCATAACTTTATACCACTCCTTGTCTCGTCTCCTGCTACTGCGGGTGTACTCTGTTAAATTGCAGGAAGATACTAGACCGGTTGGGGCTGTTCACATATTACGTAAGCCAGCCTAGTATAATAGGGGGAGGGGGTTTGGGGAAGCTTACTGTCAATTCTACACAATAGCTATTTGTAAAGTGGCTCACGCAGGAGAGGGGGGATATAAAATGGACTAATTATGTGGAATTATGTGATATGCGAATTGTGAACGACCGTTTGATCAAAATCTAAGCTCCAATTCTGCGTTATTTGAACTCTATTATTGTAATTTTTATTGAATTTTGTAAATTATGGATTAATTTGTTGTGTGATGATGCAACTTTAACGTTATTTGAAGGATACTGTAAGTTCAATAACTGACAATAATTGCAATATGCAAGTTACCTAGATACGATTGTTATGTTGTAAGTGTAACTATGAACCCTGCATACGTGCTGACTAAACTTTCTATTTTTGAACTTGAATGTTAAAGACTTAAATTATAGCTTCTTATATTAACGGGTGATACTCGTAAAATATTTGTTCCGATCCATATTGTTACATATATCCAGGACCGTCGACGAGTCCAACTCGGCGCGCGTCCTGGTAGGTTATAAACCTACAACTTCTTATATAATCATAACATGTCTTATGGCCACTGCTCATTGTTATAAATATAATGTCATAGCAGGCGACTTACTCATTGCAGACAAAACTAAACTATTTTGATCCGAAGATTTTTGAAAATAATGAGATAACACCTAAAGATTTGATTAACATTTTGATTTTATCTAAGCTGATCATGATTAGAACAAATAAAGTAGTTTTCATTCGACAGCGCGTAATATCAACAAGATTTCATTGCTTAGCAGTCATATTGTAAATATAACCGGATGTTTTGTAGGTTTACAACCTACCCTACCAGGACGCGCGCCGAGTTGGACTCGTCGACGGTATGGAACAGATATTTTACGAGTATCACCCGTTAACCTGATGTTGCGTTACGACATAGGCCGTATATGATAGAGTACAGTGTACACTGTTGACTGTTCTCGTAACAATTTTCAGTCTGTGTTAGGTGTGGTAAATTATGTTTTTAATCGCTATTTGGACACGTTCATTTGAGTTTGAGGATATTGGTAAATATAAGTGACCCTATTAAAAAGCACAGTGTAGTTGACTTTGTCACACTATGAAATTACACAAACCCTTGATGGTTAGGATAATCGTCTCATCCTCTAGGCTAACTTTGTCACATAACGATATCTTAATCAGGTGATAAGATATTGCTTAAATACGGCCGGCACGGAAATGGTTACATTGTCACACTATAAACATGTGACAGAGTAAATATGGACCCCTTGCTGCCGTTTTTGACCAAAATTTTGAGTGTCCAGTTGATTGGATGGGTACATATGACCATTACCTACATATTTGACGACTTTTTTCGTTAGATGGTGCACTCAGGTTTACTGTGTCACACATTTAAGAAAATATGTGAAGAATGTTTAGGGAACCCTGATAAGCAATGCTGAGTAGTGTAGGTTTATTTAATGGCCTGGAAGTGCTAGGAATTGTTATTATATCATATAGTCGCAAGGAATTAAAACACAGAAGGCACAGACAAGTTTACTTTGTCACATAATCTTGATGATATCTAAACATGTGTGAAATTGAACAAATAATGATATACCAGCTTAAACCCTTTGTATTACGTACTATGGATCAAACAACACTGCTAGTACCATGCACCAGTCACATAAATCATTATCGGGTGGTAATATGTTAACAGTGTCACAATTAAACTACCGCAACATGGCCAAAAATAGGGTAATTTCGTCACAAAAAAATTATTATAACTCTGTCAGTTCCTTGCTGGCAAAATAACTAGTTTATCGAAATTTGTTTGATGATAAAGTTACATAGTATTCTAATAGAGGTATAGTTCTTCAAAATAGGGGCAAGACATGTTTACTTTGTCACATCAGTTATTATAAGAGTTAGGTAATCGTCATCAGATTAACCGATCTTTTTCGTAGTATGGATCGATTAATATAGGCAATAAAGCATCCTAATTCCTATGCCAATTTTAACACACTATCTTGATATTGTTGGGGCAGGAAAAGTTAATTTTGTCACATTTTTAGTGACTTAGACAAATTTAACCTGAAATTGTTAAACTTGAGCTCTGATGTTCTGGACAATATTCTACCAATCGTTTCTGAAAGAATGTTGAATTCTAATACAGTTATAGATAAATAGATCTTCAAAATAGGGGCAAGACATGTTTACTTTGTCACATCAGTTATTATTAGAGTTAGGTAATCGTCATCACATTAACATATATTCTTTTGTAGTTTGGATTGATTTATTTAGGTAATAAAGCAGCCTATGCTAATTTTTACACACTATTTTGAAATTGTTGGGGCAGGAAAAGTTAATTTTGTCACATTTTTAGTGACTTAGACAAATTTAACCTAAAATTGCTAAACTTGAGCTCTGATGTTCTGGACAATATTCTACCAATCGTTTCTGAAAGAGTATTGAATTCTAATAGAGTTATAGATCTTCAAAATAGGGGCAAGACATGTTTACTTTGTCACATCAGTTATTATTACAGTTAGGTAATCGTCATCACATTAACATATATTTTTTGTAGTTTGGATTGATTTATTTAGGCAATAAGGCATCATAAGCTAATTTTTACACACTATCTTGAAATTTTTGGGCAGGAAAAGTTAATTTTGTCACATTTTTAGTGACTTTGACAAATTTAACCTAAAATTGTTAAACTTGAGCTCTGATGTTCTGGACAATATTCTACCAATTTTTTCTGAAAGAATGTTGAATTCTAATAAAGTTATAGAATATATAGATCTTCAAAATAGGGGCAAGACATGTTTACTTTGTCACATCAGTTATATTATTATAAGAGTTATTAAAGGAGACTATTTCATTATATAATCATTGTTTTTAACCTACCTACCTATGTCACCTATGTTGAGATTCGTTAAGCTTTAACAGGGCCATCACATTGTGTGACCACCCCACAGAGAGGAGATCTCTCTGTCATTCCTCCAGCAAAGCAGCGAGTTTGAGTTCTGAGGAGTGTAGCCCCTGATGGGCGGTGTATCCGGAAGAGATAGCATGAACTGGGTGAGCTGCGATTTGAAATGCTCTCGGTCGCCGATGGAATTCAAATGGTAAGGCATTGCATTCCACAATTTTGGGCCTATGACTGCAAATGAATTATCATACAGTGACTGATTTGCTGCTGAGCTGTGTCTGCATGCAGATGGAATGACTGCAAGGTTTCCAAAACGTGGCCTGGAGACAAACTGCACGTTAATGTCGTTGCTGGTATGGTGATGGAAAATCTTCCACATATGAAGTAAAATGAACCGCTCCCTGCGACGCTGTAGAGACATCAGAGATAGCCGTTGAAGACGGTCCCAATAATGGAGATCACGCATTCCAGTAATCCTTGCGGTGAAAGCTTTCTGTACGCTTTCAAGCTCCTGGATGTCACATATCTTGGAGGGGTGCCATAGCGGGCAACAGTATTCCAGTAAACTACGAACCATCGACTTGTAAAGCGTAAGCATTATGACTGGAGATCTTGTCTGAAAGACACTGAAAACCCAGGCAGCTTTTTGTCGAGCCTTGTTTGCTGCGGTCTTGATGTGGGGTTGCCAAGATAGATCGTTGGAGACGAGAACCCCGAGGTCTCTTAGTTGACCTACAGGTGCGAGTGACTTATTTGCGATTTCGTATAATTTTTTGTGACAATGTAAACATCAACTGATCTTAACTTGCATCAACTACATTGTCATCATGTAAAGTTTTCCCGCCTTTCAAACCAAAATCAGATATAAATAATTCGCCCAAAATTTTAAATTCCATATATTTGGAGGTTTGCCGTGTTCCTACTTTAATTTACTTTGCGTTCTCTACTTTGAGAAGGAGCAAACAAAGAGAAACGAGGAGGATAACAACGTTAGAACAAAAGGGTATATTAGGGAATAGAACAACACGTATAAACAAGACCGACTAAAGGGAATAGGGAAATGTGGGGGGAATAGGGAAAGTGTGGGATAACTTTACTCCAAAACTTTTACTATTTATATGGGCTGATTGCTTGCGAGGCAATACTAACGGTGCATCTGAAATATCTAATCAGTGCGTGGCGTTGCTTAACTAAGCTTAAAAACGGTTTCACTAATGAGCCAAATAATTGCTTAAGATCGCAATGGCTATTGACACTGAACATAAAACGGTTTGAACTTGGAACCAAATACCGTTAACTTTAAACCAACCAATATCTGGGATCCCTACATATTGTGACAGAATTAACCTCATTTCCCAATAACCAAGTGCCTGTATTAGCTAACTTTTCAAAGCAACATATTTAAGGGCTATGATTGGTACTCCGTACTTGGTAGATCAACCATCAAATAATGAGTAAAAAGGGTTTTGAGGACACATCACAGAGAATAGAGGTATGGTATTCTGAGTGTGACAAAGTTACCTAAATATTGCCTTGTAACCGTTCAATCCGTGCCCTTTAACCAATGTTGTATCATAATTGTTAGATTGACCTAATCTACTATGTTTCAGGCCAAGGAATGGTAATTAGACAACTGCAGTTAATTAAGTCACACAAAATGTGACATTTGATACATTTTAGTGCCTAACAACAATAGATTTTCTTTCTGAGCAGTGCATATGGGAGTATGGGTTATGTGGCTAATGTTCAGAACTTCTGAACGTGCTAGGTTAATAGATGTCAAAATTAAGCCACTATCGTCAAAAACGCTATTATTTTTATTTACCAATATCCTCAAACTCAAATGAACTTGTCCATTTCTCGAAATTGCTAAGATTTTTAATTTTAATTCGCCGTCAAGTTTTAAGTTTGAATTAAATTATCACCGGTTCATGCAGGGTACAGTCATGTCGTAACGTAACATCTACTACTCCCAGGAAACCTTACTGGCTGGAGCCTAACTTTGAAAGTAAAAGAGATAGAAACGTCTGGTTTTCAATAAAATGTTCGCCTTGTAAAAATAACGTTTCCCCCCCCCCCCCCCCCCCCAGGGGGAAATTAAAAACAACGTATATTTTGAATTATCGCGAAAAGTCATATTTTAGGTCATATAAAACTGCACAGCTTTAACTTTGCAGATTGTTGTTCTCTGATTGGCTGAATCGTATCACGTGGTACGCGGTACAATTGCATCTTTGGAATGTTTGAAGCGTGCAAATGCAATGAACTCACGAGCGCGCGCGGAGCTCAACAAGCTGTGAAAAGGCGATCACCCTGTAGTAATATCGCTAGCCAGTAAGGTCTGCTGGGCTGTTTATATATATATACATATCACCGGAGACTCGCGGGCGGAACAAAATATTGCACGCGCACGCGCGTGCAATATTTCATATGTCCCCGAGGGCGCTAGCCCGAGGAGGACATATTTTCGTATAGCACGGAGGGCCCATCGGGCCCGAGTGCTATACGATTTTTCCGCCCGCGGGTCGAGGTGATGTGGATTATATCCACCAGCGGGCGTATTACAGTTAATATATAATTTTATAAATAAACAATGGAGCTTGTATAAAAGTCAACTCTAGAAAAGGTCGCCACTAATTGTTGTAACCATGGTAACACGTCACGTGTTCAATGTAAGCCAATCATAAAGGGATGTGTCGTATATATAGGGGCTGGAGATGCACTGCATTCCTGGGCCGTGGGAATAATGAATGTAATGTCAGTGACGATGAATATCAATAATATAGGGGGATTATAGTGCTGA